AATATTTTACTTTCTATGATTATTTTATGCACTTGGTGATCTCACACTATGTCTTTACATTAGGCTTATTATACCAACACTCACTATTCTTGTTAGGTTTCACGGCACGGCACCCCTAACCCCCCTCATGTATCTCTGTCACTAAAAACATAATTGGCAGACAGTAATCAAACTGTTCTATCTGGATAAATGCATTTTAGATTTTATGACTCCTATTTTGAGAAATCAAGCGTGATATGACACATAGGCTTTTATATAGGTAAGATAAGGGCTGGCTTTAAGATATTTTTTAATCTATTTACTTAATAGTTTTAGTTTAGAGGATGGGAAAGCTGAGATGGACCAATAGGTTCCTTATTGTCCCAAAACATTATGTTATGTGTAACTGAGAAACGTGTATAACCCCTATTTGTATACCTATGCATTAAAACAGTAATAGGTATAAACTATTAAAGTTATCAATGTGCATAAAATACCAGGTAAAGCTAATATATCTTACCTTCTCTCACAAAAAGCTTTTCTTGACTTATACTGACTTCTATCGACACAAATTTTTGCTTGCCACTGGCTTTGATACTAACACTTATCCTCACGTATGTTAACGTGAAACATCTGAGAACTAACATGCAAATTAGTATGCAGCAACTCTCCACCAATAGGAATACGATCATAACTACCCCTATCATAACTAACACCCTCTCTAATTTTGCATCTGTTAACCATTATCGATTGGCTATCTTGTTGTGTAAATGTGTTTTTCACTCACATTTAACATACACAAAAGTTTTTACTCTTGTAATTTTCAGACCTCTCTTCTACATCGGTTACATTTGTTTATATCCCATTTTGGAGAGTTAATTCTTTTTTTTTCTCCCCTACTTCACGTTCAGAGTTATGCACTCATAGTTTCAGATAATCACAACTATAACTACTGTTACTGCTGCAGCAGATTTACCAACTACATTCCACAGGGTTGAAACCATGATTGTTGGCCCATAAAGTGACGACTCTGGTGCATAAGGAATTGACTATCTGCTTTTTATATCTGTATTTTTTCATGGGATTTCTTCTTTGTTTCTGCCCTTTCTTCAACAAATTACTAATGAGCAAAGAGCATACCTGGCTCAGAAATGGTACTGTCTCCCATGGTTGTGGTGTTTTTAGTTCATTCTCACACCCCATGGTTTTCCTTTGGTGCTTCCTAAAGGGGGAATATCTTCTAATCGTTCCTACACCTGTTCAATGTAGGATTCTAGCTTTTTGTGAGAGGAGGCGAGATATCATATCGAAAGTTAACATTTTCCTAAACTGAAAATGTATTTACAATAGATACTTTTCTCACATTTCCCACCTGTCCTCCCCACTTCCAATGTGGTTTGGTTTGACCTGAAATAAATTTTTGATTTAGTTTTGTTTCCAATAAAATCTTTAAGAAATTTACAGACTTCATGAAAAATAAGAACTTTATAGTCCCCAGTGGTTGAGTGGTAAGTCCAACAGCTTATAGTGCTAAAAATCAGGTTTTAATACCTGCGGTGAAACTACACAGCTTGATACTTGACAACAAACAAACAAAAATTATTATTATTTTTTTTACTGGAGATATATAACATATGGATTGAAGGACAGTTTAGTCCTTAAAGGCAGTCCCTGCACACCCACCACTAAAAAACTTAAAACCATCCAATATTTTCCAGGAAATTATTGAAAACCCTTTCATTATAGCCATTGAAAGTTCATTCCATCCTGTTAGGAAAATAAAACTTTTGTCCTCATATCATTTTCAAAATATATTGTAACACAATCAGAGGCTTATGTCCTATTGATACCCTGAATAAACTTCAATAATGCCACCTCTTACCATTATTTTCTCGATATGAGGTCTTATACTATCTCTTTAAGGTAACGTTTTCATCTCTAGAATCGTCCTAGTGTCCCTTATCAGAATTATTTCTAATAAGCTAACATCCTTTCTTTATAGAGAGATAATTATCTTGTTCAAGATATGTTTATAAGTACACTTTAAATTTCTAATATCTTAACTATTAACAACAGAACACTGCTTTGATGGCTTGAGTGATTTTCCACCAATATGCCTAGCTATTTTTCTTCAGCGACATTACTGAGTTGGTTCTTTTACACAGTAAACATGTGATCCAGATTATGTTAATTTTGATAACCCAGTACCTTACATTTACTATATTTATATATCAGTTTCAAAATGTTTATATTTGTCCAACTAATTAATTGATCCAAGCAAATCTGTAATACCTGAACATCTTCAATACAGCTAGAAATACCCAAGAACTGAATTTCATCAGCAATCTTTACTAATTGTGTCCTTATTTAATACTGTTAATGTAAATAAGAAAAAAACAAAGACCCAATAGCTGCCTCTAGTAACAAGGGTCCAGTTTGAATGGACTCCATTAATAACAACATTATACTTTCTCTTATCCAACCATTTTACAATCCAATTGACTACTTACCACAACTCCTACTAATTTTCTAGCTAATCTTGTATTTGGCATTGTATTAAAAGGTTTTTGAAAATTTAAGAACATCAAGACCACCCTGTTTTTCTCCAGATAACACATCTCAGAAAGAAAGTTGACATATTAGTAAAGGATGTAGTGAATATATATGCTGACTTTCTGTATACTAACTATTTAATTGAACAGTTTGTATACTTGTACAGTTTACCATCAGGGAGATATAGAATGTAGAACATATCCAACAATAACTATACTTAACAGTATCCAACAATAACTATACTTAACAGTATCCAACAATAATTACACTTCACAATATCCAACAGTAACTATACTTAACAGTATCCAACAGTAACTACACTTCACAATATCCAACAGTAACTATACTTAACAGTATCCAACAGTAACTACACTTCACAATGTCCAACAGTAACTACACTTCACAATATCCAACAGTAACTACACTTCACAATATCCAACAGTAACTACACTTCACAATATCCAACAGTAACTACACTTCACAATATCCAACAATAACTACACTTCACAATATCTAACAATAACTACACTTCACAATATCTAACAGAAACTACAATTAAAAATATCCAAAAGTAACTACAATTAAAAATATCCAAAAGTAACTACATTTCACAATTTCCAACAACAACTACACTTCACAATATCCAACAACAACTACACTTCACAATATCCAACAGAAACTACACTTCACAATATCCAACAGAAACTACACTTCACAATATCCAACAGAAACTACACTTCACAATATCCAACAGAAACTACACTTCACAATATCCAACAACAACTACACTTCACAATATCCAACAACAACTACACTTCACAATATCCAACAACAACTACACTTCACAATATTCAACAATAACTACACTTCACAATATCCAACAATAACTACACTAAAAAATATACAATAACTACACTTCACAATATCCAACAGTAACTATACTTAACAGTATCCAACAGTAACTACACTTCACAATATCCAACAGTAACTACACTTCACAATATCCAACAGTAACTATACGTGACAGTATCCAACAGTAATAACTATAATTAACAATACCCAACAGTAACTACACTTCACAATATCCAACAGTAACTACACTTCACAATATCCAACAGTAACTACACTTCACAATATCCAACAGTAACTACACTTCACAATATCCAACAGTAACTATACATAACAGTATCCAACAGTAATAGCTATAATTAACAATATCCAACCGTAATTACACTTTCACTTATGGATTCAGTGTTACTCAGCTGTATAACTTGTTCATGTAAAAGTAAACAACCTAAAACGTCAGTTAAATTTGTCTTAACATATCTGAACTGTACATGTGTGTCTTACTAGAAGACACACATAAGTTCATCAAATTTCTCTTGACATTTCTAAAATTACCTTAATCATTTTTTTAAAGATAACAAAACATTACAGAACAACAAGGGACATTTTGGTCCATCTGGGCTGTCTAAACCAAATCCTTAAAAAAAAAACTTGAAGCCAGTCCTTGTCATTCAAATGTTTATCAAGCTTCCATTAAATCCCTTTTAACTTCCTTAAATTAACTGCATCCACCACATGTGAAGGCAATCTGTTCCAAATGCTAACCATCCTGTTAGAAAATAAAGCTGTGTTAGTTGAGGATGACTCCTACTCTGCCAAAATTTATACTTTTGTCCCTTAATCTTACCATTTTCACCATTAAATATGAAAAAATATGATGCATTAACACTATCAGTTCTGTTAACAATCTTAAAACATCTCAATTAGATCCTCTCTAACTCTTCTTTATTTTTAGAGTAAACACGTTCAGAGATCATCTCCTTTCCATCCCAGATATCATCATAGTAGCTTTTCTTTGAACTGTTTCCAACAATTCAATGTCTTTCAAGGGTAAGGAGCCCAAGAGTGAACACACTACTACAAATGTGGCATGACCAGTGACCTATACAGTGACATATTAATCTCTTTAGACTTCTTTCAGTATTTCTATAGATACAACCTAAAATTCTTTTTGCCCTGCCACGGGCAACAACACATTGCTTGGATGGTTTAACCCAATGACTACCGGCTACTAACTTTCTTAGTAGGCAATGCAAGTGTGAGGGCAAAATCATTTGTGAATTGAAAAAATGATAGAGAACTTATCTTTTAATGGATTTCTTATTTTATTTTTATAAATAGTAGCATAACATTCAATTATACTCCTGGAAAAAAGTTAAGCACCCCCAAATATTTTTCAGGATTGCTTATTGAAAAT